TTAATGTCTTTGTAGTTCATAAATAAAAGGCAGCTAAGTGCACATTGACATCCCCTGCAAGGCGGTGATCTGAAGAAGGAACCCACAGATATAGGGATCAAGCTTACCCTTACCATTTTAATAAGGCCACACCCAAGGCTAGAACTTGTGACATCTCAGTCACAGAGCAATACCGTAATCGATGCGCCAAAGCTCCCCTTCTATGGAGTTCATGAATAATTTTATAAATTTCTACATTCATCAATCAAAACCACTTATTACTCATTTAAATGATCATACTTTGTTTTGTACTTGAATAGTTACCGCACTTTAATAATTTCACACATTCTACTCGACTACTGTACATTTTATTTCTAAGGTATTAAGAATTACTCACGCCGCTCTCTAATATTGAGATAGAGTAGAGTGATGTGGTTTTTAAGAAAAGTAGAATTATATGGTTGATAATGAGTTGATAAAGTGAGAATAAAGTAAGAATGAATTAGAGTCGCACAAATGTTACCAAATATGATATGGGACAATAATTGGGGGACAGAGGGAATATAATATACTACCACTGTCCAAATTTGATGATCATGTTTCTTGTCACTTGGTCAACACAAACTACTCTTAATCTCTTACTTTAGATATCAAACTCTTATCAAATTTTCTTTTTCTTTTTGCGACTTTGTAAAACTTTTGATGTAGTTTCTATACAAGTAAATGTTTGTTACTAAAAGTAATTTGAGTGGGGACATGAATTCTTTGCTTTATCGTCGGTCAAACCTCGTAAACCGCAATCAGACTATCAAATTGAGACGGAGAAAGTAATTTTTTTTTATATAAACTTCTTCCAAAGTAAGATTTTGATTTTTCTTATATTTTTTTACAATACACATATAAAGCAAATCAAGTGTTAAAGCAAAGTTGAAAGTGTGATGCCAAACATCAGAGAACAAGTGTTTGTGACTAAATCAAAATAGACTGGGTATATGGAGTGCAGGTTTGGTGAAGGTAGAAACAGTGATAACAGTGAGATTGCCCTAGATGGTAAGGATATACCAGTCATTGATATTATGTTACTTGGCCTCCATAATTTAGAAATATGGTAAACTAAATGGAGATGTATCCCATAGAACCATAACCTTGGATAATATGAAAGAGTGCATCAGAATTTTTATGTAATTTAGGTATGCCGATTAGACTAAAGGATAAATTATGTCGGACATTCGTTAAGCTTCCATTATTATATGATGTAGAGTGTTGAACGGTGATAAAATGTCACATTCAAAAGATGAGACTATGAGAGTGGATGTGTGGACACCGGACATACTAGAAAAGGCCGCTTAAAAATTAGGTAATCGGGGAAAAAAGTGGGAGTAGCACCTATTGGAGATAAGATGTTGAAAACTCAATTGTGGTGGTTTGGTCATATGCGTAGAAGACCGAGTGATGCGTCTATTAGGCAAGATGAGAGGTGCAGGACAACAGACACGAAGGAGACGTTTGACAACGTATGTAGTGATCGAGCAAATACGTCTTAAGAAGACAACAATCTTTGTTGGGATCGGTTCATCCAAGTATTTCTACTTTATACTCTTCAATTAAAAATGGATGACACCCCATCTCTGAGGGGCCCAGAAGCGACCAGACTGTTGTCTGAGAGGATGTAAGTTGAGATTTGATTTCACTCTGATGTAAAGAGTGTGGGCTTCCATCCCAAGTCATTGCTTGGAGTTGAACCCGAGATCTTTCCCTTGTAACACCCCTTTCAATTCTTACGAGGTGAGCTACCCCTGGGCCCTAGTTACTTTATACTCTTCTATTTTATTTATTACATGCACCATTATACTAATTAGTTAACATCACTCTGTGATTGGGGGTTACTTTCTCCAAATTTTTAAAATGCACCAACTACGAAAATTCATTAGATGGGTGTAAAACATTCATAGTATCCCAATAGCCAATTGGAGTCCCATTGTTTTCTCTGCCAAATATGACTCATTCCCACATATTTTAGGTTTTTTTATTGTTTTTATTTAATAAGATTAAATAAGTCATACAAGTATTTGAGGAAGAAAACACACTTTTTTGTAACAAAGGAAGACAGCATACTTAGTCTTATTTGAGGACTTTTTATATGTTTTACTTCTACTTTGAGCAATTTCTAACAATCTTTTGATTACAATAAACTACAGTGTCTGACTACATGATCTTTTGCGAGAAACTTAAGCACATAGCCACATAGGTCTAGTCCTATCGGGTTCATGACATCATGTCTAATAAACAAACTATGAATGTCTATGGTTTTCTTATTTACTGATCCTCAAATTTACTCATCCACAACTCTCTTCAACTTAGGTGTGGATCTGGTACGTTTCCAATTCCATATTTCCGTGACCAAAAAGGGCCATTACCTATAATCAGGACAGGGTTATCTAGGTAAAGGACCATTTCCAGTTCCAGAGTTGTTAGACAAAAACGTTAGCCTATGTTTTGAAACAATTGAAGAAAACCTGAACCAGTCCATAGTCCACACTGCGCCTATTTGGAGAAGCAGAGCCAGAATAGGTTTAGAATAGTTCCGGAATCGAAGTGGCAACCGGCCCAACTATTTACTCCCAGTTAGCTCGTGTTTTAGAACCAGGCTGACCATAGTTTCATTGCCAGAAATTGTAAACGAAGAATTATGGTTGTGAAATGTTACAAGCAAAACGATAATTAGGACCCTCAAGTTTTAGTTAATAAAAATCACAGTTTATAATGGGCAATATATATTACAAGGAATAACACATTTCTGAATTGTGTAACTCAATGTCTCAGAAAAGATCACCATGTGTAACAACTGCTCGAATCACCCCCCAGTCTCTATTCATTAGAGGCATCAGCAGGACTAACAAGGACCCCCTGTGCAGAGCCTTCCTTCGACCGACCACTCTCCTCTTCTTGCACCTCACTATCTGGCTTTCTCATCCTTATTTTGTACTTGGCCTCAAACTCAGAAATCTCTTTCTTCTTCTTCTCCAATGCTTCATTGAGACGAGCAATCAATTCCTGAAGCCCCTCCTTGTTGCGCTGCACAGCGGGCAGCACTTCTTTAACGGTTCTCTCAACAAGCACACCTCCAATCAGCCTGTAGCACCGCCTTGATGGGTCAAGCGGCTCTATGGCATTCATCACAAGAGTGTGTTCACTGGCTTCCATCTCTAGTTCGGTGATTTTGGAATATATTTGGTTCATCTCAGACCTTAAAGAACTGTATATGTTGGCAACTGCTTGCTCATTGATAGGAGGTTCATTCACACACTCAGCTTTGGCAGCCATGTATGAGTATTACTGAAATGAACATAAATAGTCAGAGTTATCCTCTCAGCTTATAATGACAACTTTATCCCCCCACTAAAACCTGAAATGTCTACTGTAACCAAGAAGATTATAAACCTGTTTATCGACATAGTCAAAAGTAGCTTATTCTGTTGATTAGTATGGGGAATAAATTGCTATTGGCTTACTAATTTGCCAGACATGATTTCTATCAAAAGCTTTTCCCATAAAAAATTCAGCACATTAGGCCATGTATGATGTATCAGTCAAGTAAACTGTAAACCTGCCAAAAAAAACTGAATTTTTTTTACATTTCTACTCTTCTTTATGGAAAATAAGAATTCATCTGGAGAACTAGTTCACCAGAGAAGGCCAGCCAGAAGCAAGCAGTGAAAACTTAAATTTCCAAACATCTTCCATAAATTAATACTACGCAACTCATAAAACAATTTTAAAAACTAAAGCACAGTGGCAGAATTTCGTCTCTTCTCCGTACTAAGGCAACACTGCCTGCGTATTAGCAGGTCATTAAATTACAGCTGATTACAACTCCTTAATTTAGAAAATCAATCATCTTTTAACAGAAATAACAGATACAGAACGAACCTCAACAACGCCCGATCCATTCACTGCTGATAAGATATAAAAAGATGGATACTCCGTATGTACGAAGAAACAAAACAAACGATAAAATAAGAAGACAGTTAGTGATAATCGACTAACCTCGGTCTGGATATTGAGTAACGGCGTGGGGTAGACTGCGTCCGACCTAGGGGGGAAGAGGAGCAGCTGGAAACGGAGAGAGCAATATGGCGTACGATGGACTGACCGAGGGATAGCGGTAGAGAGATGAATTGGTACACCGAAGAGATGAAGTATCTTGGGCTTGTGATTTTCTAATTGGACTGGATCAAATATTTGGCCCAATAACTTATTTTATTTGACAGATTTTAAAGGGGTGAGCATTCGGTCGGTCTTCATACAACAGATTTGATCCAATAATAACTTCGGTTTTCGGTTAACCGACCGATAACCGACCAAAATAACCGACCATTAACCGAATAACCGAACAACCGACTTCTTTTAATATGTAATAACCAATGACCGACCGATAACCGATTTTTTCAATCGGTTCGGGTATCGGTTTTCGGTTTTATCGGTTTTGTCGGTTATTTGCTCACCCCTAGTAATACCCCTTACTTTAAAAAAAAATGTCAACTTTCTTTTTTAATAATCCAACCAACTTTGTCACTTTCTCTTTTAATTAAATAATATGTGGTTCCTATTGATTCTCTCTTCTGTAAAAAAAAACTTAATCATACAGGCACACAACTTTGATTTTATTATTTTCCGCGCCACTCAAATTTTGCCAAGTTCTAAGGGAGTAGGATGAAGTATTTTTAGTACCCATTTTGTAGCATTAAAATTGGTTAAATGGGTTGAATCTATTGAAACTGATGAAATTCTAGATGAACTGACCATCTTTACTAATTTGTTGATTTGCTAAAATATTATATTTAAAATATTTTCAATGATAAGTAAAGAAAAAATGTTATGGAAAATAGCTACAATAATCTTCCACATTAACAACAGTCAATTCAATCGCAAAAGTAACTTAAAACTCACTTATGTTGATTACGGAGTATGCAATATTATACTACGTATAATTTAGCGCGCAAAATCACAAGTTATGTATCACAGTGTCTGATAAACAAAAATGACTAATAAGATGAAAATATTAGTTATCAAACAAGCTCTTGGATGTAGGCAAATGTTTTTTGTACTACAATCATGTACACCAACTTGTATATTCACACGAGAAACAAGATTTTTTTTTGCAAAATATGCGAAAATAAAAATCTTATTTAGGGTACTATTATTCAAATCTGCTGTGAAACTAACACCCCAAAATAAAAACACACAACCATGGTTATACAAATGGTTACAAAAACAAAGCACAACAAAAAAATCAAATCACACAAATCTGTTAAATGGTTTCCTCCCAACAATAGCTGGCATTGAAACAGTTGAGTCCACACTCTTAGGAGTAGCATCTTTGCTTGACTCTTTGTTCGACCTGAAAGACGACCCAGCATTACTATTTGGAGTTAAAGGAAACGAAAACCTCCTCTTCGAGTCGTTTGAAGAAGTTCCACCCGTAAAATGATCATTCCTCTCCCTCGTGTAGTTAAATGGCCTCCTCGCTTTCGCTTTCGCCGAAGCAGTTGGTGCCATGTAACTTGGAAAGGGAGGACAGCTTGTAAGGCTGTCATCATCGGCCAATGGGTAGTGGAAAGGGGAACTTGTAGAAGTATTGAAGTCTTTGGTTCTCATTGGAACAGCTGACTTTGTTGATGATGGTGTAGCCGGAAAATGTGGACTAGGCTTGCTCCCAGATGGGGCTCGAGGAGGCGTTCGATGGATGTTCTTTATATCAGGCTGGCTGTGGTTTAACCAGTTCCACCACACAGAGGGGTATCCACTCCATCTCAGCTTATTGCCTTTCCACAACTGTTCATACATTGGAACAAAGATAGGAAGTGTTACAAATCATCATTTAGCCAAGATGTGAAACACTACTCAACAAAAAGGAAACTGTTTTGTCTATTTTTGACACCAGAAATCCATACCCAAACAATACCTGATTGGAATATGCATAAGCCATAGCTCTCTCCCTATTGATAACTGCATCCGCTTTTCTTCGCCCCCTTTGTTCTATTTCATCTTTGGTTAGCATACTACCATCCCAATTCTCCGGGATACCTGCTCGTGTCTAAACTAAACTCATCTTAGCTATGAGGCTTTAGATTTCACCCACGGACTACGAAGAAATACTTCATTAGAAGGCGAAAACTTACAGATGGGGTCCAATTGGGGAGGGTGCACTCGCCATCCATATCGTTGTTTAAATCCCGGGCCTGGCTTTCCAACATTTTGATCCTTCGATGATGAATTTGTGTTTGAATCCTAACCATAAACTGCATTTGTTTCATGGCATTCAAGACCTGCTTTTCTACATTTTGACCTCTCATCACTCCTTCAAGCCTCACTAAGCCCCTCAAAGCTCTAAACCCCCTCCTTGCCTGTTCTATGCCCAATACACAAACTATTAGACTTGGAAGTAAATAGAAAACATTTGTGGAAAATTTTCTGTTTTTCAAATTTTAAAAGCCAGTAAATATTACTCCACAATTACTTTTCATTTATTGATTTGATCTAAAATAGCAAATCAATAGATAATCTTGACTAGGCCTAACAACAAGTCAACAAGTCCTAATAGTCAAAGTTAAGAAGTCCAAAAGGCAATGACAAAATTATTGAACAGAAAAGAAAGATCACCATATAGCCTCTAAAGGCAGCCTGGATCCTGATGGCGGCAGAGACCTGAAGAGCATTCCGAGTTGGTTCTGCCGCAGGTCGATGTACATAACCGTTCACTTCTGGACGTTGCCAGCTGACCTTAGAAGAAGAAGAAGCTCCCGGAGGAGGAGGGCGGCTTGGTGAGGAAGGTGTCTTCCTCCCAGAGGAAAGTCTGGGCTTTTCATCAGGAACAAGTTCCCGGCGCTGTCGCCTATGTTCATCTGCCTCCCCTAATATCTTCTCAATACTGCTTGCCTCTCTGCATAGTGGAAAATATGATTTGCTCTCTCCATGCGTTACCACTCCTCTTCCTTGCTTCCATTTTTTCCTCTTTGTTCCCTGACAAGATGCAATTGGAGCTTCCATTTTCAAGATTAACTACATATAAGCAATCTATATAGAAAGCATGAGGATTCCTAAAAAACTATTTCATTCATTCCTACAAGGTTTGTCATTTTGTTATTAACTAATTATTATGGTAACATGATCACTGAATTCTGATTCTACTATTTTATTGTGTTCCAATTCAGTTTTTGCATTTCAGTAGAACTTTCTTGTTGATCTTAACATGTAAATATAAAATTCTTACTAATCAATGTATTATCAGAAGAAGTTCAACTTTAGATTCAGTCAAAGGAAATAGGGATGGATAGATAATATTAGTAAAATTATTTCTGCAAGAAGCTCAGGTTTGGGACTCATCTAAAATACTACAAAGCTAGTTAGCTAATTAATCCACTTACATTAGCTTGCTTATCCTTGGAAGAATTGGGTGTGAAGAGTCTTATGATCGCAGAAAACCAGCTGCCTTTCTTTCCCATGTTCCTCTAATAAGCATATCATTTCACCCTGCAAAAATCACCTGATTGGAATTTGTAATTGAGAAGGAAATATAACAGCAGGATATGATTCTTGGTCAAAATAAATTAGAAACATCTGGTAGTAGTTGAAAGAACTATGCTTCCACTTCACTTCAGTATACAGTCTCTATCTATATATAAAATATTTTCTTTTATGAATTGCAAATGAATGAATTAAATTAAGACTTGAATTTCAACATGAAACCAATCTGATTGAGGAGCAATTTAAATTAAGACTTGAATAGAAACTTCTCCGTATAAGTTTCTATTCAAATTCTTATACGGATCAATAGCATCAATATTAAGTATTTAACATAAGGAAACCGAAAAAAGTAGTTGGAGTTGCAGAATAACAAAACAAAAAGTTAAAAATTTAGCGCAGAGAAAGGCAAACTGAAGATTATAAGGGGAAGAATTGATCTAAGAAAAAAAATAACTGAATCCCACCAAAGATCAGAAGAAGAAGAAGACTCACATGATAAAATCATAACATGCAAAATCCCAATTTAGAGAATCTGAACATTATCTAAAAAGATAAAGAAAAAGCATTTATAACTTAATGAAGCAAAGTATGCACCTTTCATATTTCATTTATTCTTTTTGATCCAGTCTTGCATAACCCATTCAACAAAGCAGCAACCAACCCTAAAGTAACATTCAACTAAAGAAATTTCTTTTTTCCCTTTCTATTTATACCCCTCTCTGCTTTGCAAAATACTAGTAACTGTTCTATTATAGTATGTGACCTTTTAGAACTTTCTCAGGTTCAAAGCTGGCCAACTATACATCCTTTCTTATTCTTTCCTCGAATTTGATTTTGCAGGCCTTTTTCTGCATTTTTTTTGCGTATAAGATATGATCTATATTTGTTATAACTACCCACCTTAGCTTTTCCCCTTCTCCCAACTTTCACTTTTAAGAGCAGTTTTTCGTATGTATATAATGATTCTTTATGCATGTATGGTATAAAATGATGAAAGGTGTGGGACCCTTGACTTCTTCAACAGTTCAACTAACTTTACTTCAATTACAAGACTATAATTTTTACTTATTTTTCTTTATTTTTTGTTTTATAGCTCTAACAATAGAATCCACAACGATTCCCACCATTGATTACTATAAACCACCTGTTAGCGTGTTAGGCTCACTAATCACTATCTTTTAGACTGTTATCATTTCAGAATGACTGGTATTTTAGTGGAGTTGGATATGAATGTTGCGTTTTATCTTTAATTTTTGGAAACAAGTTGAATTGGTCAAACAAGGATTAATTAAGGATGTTTTCTTCTAAAAAACTTATGGTTTAATCTATGGTCTGGTGTCTGAGTATTGTATTAAAGTTTAAATCTAGTTTAATCTCATCTAGTATTATACTCAGTGTCCTAATTTGGACTCCTTAGGCGAGATATTGCAATTGGCACGATATCAAAAAAATTGGGATCATGTGGCTAAAAGTGTGTATCTGAAAGATACTATATAAATCATAAATTCTTTTTCATAAAAGAATAACTGGTTTATACTGAAATAAATCAAAAAATGAGAGAGTAAAGTTTAGTAGGGGTGGACTCGGGCCGGTTCGGGCCCGGTTCGGGCCTGGGCCCGGCCGGGCCTCGGGCCAGAAATCTAGGGCCCGGGCCCGAACCGCCGGTGGGCGGTTCCGGTTCCGGTTCCGGGCCAAACCGGGCCGGGCCGGGCCGGGCCAACCGGTCTATTTTTTTTTTTTTTTTTTTGGTTCTCCTTTTTAACCCCCTACCCCTCCCCTCAACCCCAAACCACCCCAAACCACCTCAAATGGCCCAAAATACCTAATCCAACCCAAAACTTAAAAAAATTTCAAAAAAAAAAAAAAAAAAAAAAATTAAAATCCGGCCCGGACCGGGCCCGGACCGGCCGGGCCGGTTCACCAAAATCAGGGCCCGAGCCCGGACCGCCATCCCACCGGGCCGGGTGGCCCGAACCGGTGCACCAACCGGTTGACCGGGCCGGTCCGGGCCCGCACAGTAGCGGGCCGGTCCGGTTCCGGGCCGGTTGGCCCGGCCCGAGTCCACCCCTAAGTTTAGACTATGATGGAATTTTTCTTTTTGAAATCTAATAACTTGGTTTCCTAAATTGGAAAGAATTGTTTGCTTTTCGGGTATGTTTGGCAAATGGCTGTTAGCTGTTGTTGTTAGTTGGTTGTGTCAGCTGTTTCCTAACAGCTGGTTGTGTTAGCTGTTTTGACTGGCTGGTTATGTTAGCTGATTATAGATAACTGTTTGGTAAAATTGGTTGTTTCGAAATGGCTGATAGAGTGTAAATTGAACCAGCCGAATGAATAAGCTGCCCCCTCAGCTTCTTCAACAGTCCATTTTTTCAGCTTTTCAAACTCAACAAGCTAATTTTAAAAGTCATTTACCAAATATCATTATTAGCGTCTTTGACCAATCAAACAGCTGAAATGAGTCAAACAAGCTAAAAGCCGGCTGATAAGCCATTTGCCAAACATACCCTTCGTAGCTACAAAGTGACTAAAGGAGAGTTTGATTAAAAAAAAACACTTTTCAATTTTTGACTTAAAAAAAAAGTTAAAATTAGTGCTTTCAAACACCTACTTCTACTTAAAAAAAGCATTTTAAAGCCAAAAATTAGAAGCTGGGATTTGAGTGCTTTTAAGTGCTTCTAGGTTCTTTTGTAAATAACACAAATTCGAAGGATAGTTATAATGAGAAATCTTTCATCCAAACCCCAAAATATCCTTCTGATGCCTTCTTCCCTGCTTCACGAGACTGCAATTCATCTTCTTTGCCTCTCCATGGAAGATGCCCTTGGATGGAGAAATAGGCGGCCTCTTCCCTGCTCTTTTCCCAATTCATTTAAAAATTGTTGTTCTTCAATATTATATATACTGTATTATTTATTTATTTTTTGCAAAGTCAAATATAAGTATTCATATTCAAGAGTAAAGATTGATTGAAAATGTCAAGAACTTTTGATGAAATTGTTGCAGAGAGGCAACTTCCCCTTTGAACCCAAAGCTCTCTTGAGCACCGCCAGCAATCACGATGATAATAATTGCAAGCTTCAAGCATTTTATGAATCCCCAATTCCCATTTACTTTGTAAGTTGTAGAAGAGTATATTGGTATTTTAATAAAATATAACATTAAAATCATTTTTTACCAAACACTCCAACTTTTAACTTCTTAACAAAAATCACTTCTATTCCAAAACACTATCAACTTTTACTACAAATCATTTTTCCAATAATCTTTTAAAAAAATCACTTCAAAAAGCACAAGCAATAGCAAAAACTCCCTAAGACACGAAGCTAGTATGTTTAAATAAATATTAACCAAACGCGGTGCTTATAAAAGTCATTGTGTTTATGATTTCCTTCATGCGTGGGAAAGTAGCTTATGATAATGACGAGTTAAAATTGCACTGTTCCATCCTCTTTTGGAAGAATGTATAGCTATCAATTATCAAACAATAAAGTGGGATCATACACTTCTGTCACTAATTCTAACTAGATGAGATTAAGGTATGGGTGAATTGGGTATCAAAAGAGTATTGAACATTCAAAGCGTTTAAGAAAATGTGCTCTTCAGTCCCAAATGAATTGAATTTTAGAAAAATGCAAATATATTAAGGATCCTTCAACGTTCATGATTTTACCTGTTTTTCTCAACGCACAAAAGCATTAAACTGAAGAACAATAACATGGACAGATTTGGAAGATTATGAGTAAGAAATAACCCTTAAATTCTAAGCACGATAATTACTTAAAAAAGATTCAGCTAAAACAACTAATATCTAGTACAGAGACGTCAGAGAGTAATACATACTTCACATATTAGAACTAGAAAATATAAATTTATCCTGACCAAAATAACAGAATAATTAATTGTATCATCAGCTCATTTTTACGAATACAACACAAGAAAGTTCATGTTTTTACAGAAGCTAAGATCATTCATTCTAAGCAATACAACTTAAGTAAAATATGTTCAACTAACATTCTAAAGAAGAGTTCCTCCACTTTACCAAGTACCAACTGCCCCCCAATGACAACAGCTTCCATGCAACTCACTCTGGTGTTTGTGCCCTCGTGGCTCACATATGAGTGCAGGAAATTGTCCAAGACCCATAATTAAAATGTTTGGTTTAGCTGAATCTCTTAATTTAAAGCTTGCAAGAGAAGGGTTTTAATAATATTTTACCGCCTCACCTCGCATAGCAGAACTCAATTTTTTCCCCCTTTTACTGCCATTCAGATATCTCTTTTTACTAACTGTCAGGCTCTGGCTTTTGCCAGTTCCAACCACCACCACCCGCTTTACGCTCTCCTCTCTTTCTTTTGCTCGTGGTAGGTGGAAACTGGATTTCAGAGGCCAAACACGGCCTTAAAGTAGATTGCTCCTGGGACGTACCACTCGCTCTACTCGGTTGTGGTAGTGAAACAGCAGGAAGTGGATTAGAGCCTTCTTCTGGAATTTTCTTCTCCGTGCCTCCAAGGTTTTTCTCCAAGGATTGATCACAGTTAATCTTCAAAGAGGCCCCTTCCACTTCAGATGCTTCATTTTGTACGAGGATGTTATCCACGATCTGTAAATGCCAAATAACATGAAACTATTAATAATTCTTCAAATTGCCAAATTCAATGTATGGTATGTATTGAGAGTATAGACATAGGAGGGAGCTTTTTCCATCATTTGCAATGGAGCCAAAAACTTACTATTTTTTGGCTTGGGAATATAATGGAATAAAACAAAATGACTCACTAAACTATCTATGATTCTTTGTTATGAAGCAACAGTCAGTCCATGCAAAAAAATCTTTCGTTTCTCAGTGCATGATTTCTCCACCTTTTCGTATGATTTTATTGGGAACTTTCCGGGAAAAAATTCACTTGACATCAATATTGGAGAAAACATTCATTAATATTTAGGCACTTCCCAAAGTATTCGAGCGGACAGTCATATACAATTCAAGAGTAAATCTAATGACCCTTCATTTTAAAAATTACCTCGTACAATTCAAGAGAAAATGTAATGACCTTTCATTTTCCCAACACAACATACGCAGTATTACATGTACGTACGTACACAGTAATATATATTTGAAAATTTTAAGTATACAATCTATATTCATAGTTCAGTGCGAGGTTCCTTTTAGTGTTTAAAAACATTCACAACATAAAAAACAAAAGCTAATACTATCGTATTATTTGTTAAAGATATGGTATGAGACCTTCAACGACTTTTATTTTGGCGTAGTAGTTGTACGTATTTCAGAGTTTCGAGCTTTCATTCCTTTTTGTATTAATCTTTGCAGATCGCCATTTATTTGTCCTTCCTGGTGCATCGTTCGTCTTAGAAGTGCTCGGAACTATTTAATTGTAAGAACAATTTGACTGAAATCGGATTTGTTTGTGTAGTCATATATTTGGGATTCAATCTAATCAGAGATGTCAGTCATCTATACGAATTTGAAGCTAGAAAATTTTGATGAAAGTAATTAAAATTAGAAAGTGCAAATACACGCGGTGCCGACCGACTTAGAAGGAAAATGGACGAAGGTGGAAGATGAACGGTGCTTCATGGTTGATGACTCTGCACAAACCCAATGCTTATCCTCAAGGCTTCTAATGTTTGGTTTTGACTGTATTATACTTTTAATGGGATCGATGTGAACAATTTTATGTATTTTCACTTATTTAGTTCCTAAACAAGTACATATTGTATACGTAGTACTTCCTCCGTTCTTTAATTCTTGAAACATTGTGATTTTTGCACTATTCACAGACCTTACTTTGACCACGATTTTCTACTAATATACATAATCAATTTATTACGTATAAAATGTTATTGAATTCCTATCAATGTGAATTTCCAAAATATCAACTTTTTATAATGTTTACTAATACATAATTAAATATAATTACAGTCA